CCCCCAAAAAAAAAAAAACGTAATTTGGAACCTGGGTATTTGATGAAGGGTGGAGATGTGCAGCGATTCTGGCAATTCTTTGGCCGTTGAGTTCCATTTCTTGTTCTGTTTGAGTTTATCCTTTCTATGGTTGGGTATAATGGTGAGCTCTGGAAGGGAGTACTGTATGGATAAAGTGTTGCACTTATTAATTTAGTGCACGAAAATTGGAAAATTGGTTTATCTGCAGAGTTTAATTTGGTGTAGTTGGGATAATTCTGGGCCTTAATTTCTGTATCCAGCGCTTGTGGCTCTGAGTCTCCGATAAACCTGGTTTTGGATTTTCCCACAGGTTTCTGTATCCAATAGGCCTTCATTCTCAACAATAGTTTTGCAAACGACGTGCAATAGACCTTCTATTAATACAAAACTCACACAAATTTTAACACACGGGATTGGTGATTAAACAATCGGTTTTCTTATTGATTTCAAACATATTTAATTCGAATCTATATTTATATAAAAAGAATAACCATTTATTAAAAATAACAGGTCAACTTTGGTCAAACATGGTTCAACATTAATTATATCTTATTAATAGCAAGTTTTTATTTTATTTTTTACATTTTAAAGACATAATTAAATGAACCCTAAAATGGTGGGATTGTTGAAAATTCCGTCCAATTTTGACGTGAAATTTAAATTCACCATCCTTGTATTAAAATAATATATTCACCTATAAAATAAGAAGAAAATTTGGAAATTTTTGAAGTTAAAAAGTGGGGTAAATTTAAATTTTTAAATATATGTGAAATAAAACTTTAGTGGTTAGATAGATGGTATAAAGATAATAATATTTTTATTGATAAGATTGATAATTCAAAATGTGTAAACGATCAGTGTTTTTCTAAATTTATAATAAAGATGTTTTTCTATTTCTTAACTATGTTCGTAATATGTAAAACCAAATAAGATAAGATTAATAGGTATTTTTTTTTAAATATTTCAATATGATTTAAATAAATATTTGTTGTACAAATTAAAAAAATATTATTTAATCACCACATACATTGTTAAGTTTGAGGCGTAAAACTCCATCGAATATTTTTGGGGAAAAAAAGAAAGAAATTGTATCCTCATAAAATTAGAAAAACATATTATAAAATAATTTATATTTTGAATTATAAGTAAATATAAAAAATATAAAAATAGAGTGACAAATAAAAATGAGTACAACATTTATTATTAAATAAAATATAAAATCAATACATGGATGATTTCACGTATACCTATTCATAGGCACCGCATGGATTGTGTACGAATTTTATCTTTTTTTCTTCTTTTTTTTTTTTTAAGGAGGATCAATAGTGTTCTCAGTTCCCCTACTCAGTTACTCGAACTCATGACCTATTGGTCATAGATGAAACGTCTTACACTTAAATTGCGCTTCGTTGTCGGGTCGTGTACTAATTTTAAATAAACATGTTCTATGTGATTTTTGCACAATTTAAATTTCAAAAATTTTAATTTATAAATATTAATAATTATTAACCGTGCATCGCACGGAGTTCGTACCAGTGACAATGAAAAGTATTTAGAGAGAATAACTAAGTCTAAGTGATGTAGGAAAACGTACAAGTGAGACGATATTAATGAGATCGCAATCTCAAGAACATCTAAACACAATATCAAATCGTACTTCAATTTAATAATTATAATCAACTGAAGATAACAAAAGAGGGGGAGTCCTTTATATAAGACTCATAAACCGTGATAGTAGTTTGCTCACCAAGACTAAACATAAATAACAAATAAATAACCGGCGTGAGAAGTCGTACCCATGGGCAATGGCAGCAATCTCCCGACGTTTCCCCCTATCGAACACGAAGGTTGAATGTCGCACTTTCATGGTATCACCCCCTTGAAATTCATGGAAAGACATATATGCAACAACCACACACAGAATTTTGAAGTCACCGTGGGAACTAAAAAACATCATCTGTTTGCAAGGCCGTAACAAATTCTCGTAGGAGAAAAGCTCTGGCTTGTGCAATAGAAGAACTACCAATTCTTCCAACAACTGTATTTCGATACCCGGAACATGATGGAATTCCTCTAGTCCCGGAGGCTCCTCATCAAAAATTGGCGGACCGTCGTAGAGATCGTCTACTTCTCCGGTAAGATGCTCCTCCACCTTTTCGGGTCCTTCATCAAACATAGGCGGACCATCGTACAATGGTCCGTCAACTTGCTCTCCGTCGAATTCGGGGATGTAAACGCAAAACGGGACCTCCCATCGACCATATTCGCGATCAAATTTCAAATCACATTCGCGTCAGGCACGATATTCGCCGGCGGAGGCAACCTCCTCGCGTCTGCCTCTGTCGTCATCTTGATCATCGCTGTCCACGAAGAATGAGCCCCATCGCCACATGTCACGACCGTCGTATGAAGCGAAGGGGTCAGCCTCGACGTGCGGAGGTTGCCACTCGCCGAAGGGATTCACCTCCGAGATGGTATCCTCGTCGTCTTCGTCGTCGGACGGTGATTGTGGAGATCTCCGGCAGGGCGCCACGCCTGGACCACGGCCTCCACGTCCTCCGTGAACTCCCCCGCGAACGCCCCGGTTGCCGGCGTCACGGTTCGTCTGCAAATCCTCAACCACGTTGTTGATCGTAAGACGTACTTCACCGATCACCGTCGAAAGAACCTCAACCCGAAGATCCAATTGATTGATCTGACGGCCGAAACCGTGGCTTATCGACCCGAATACTCAATTGTGGCGTCACGCTCGTCGATGTCGTCCTCTCACGGCGACATCTTGAATTGTGTTGAATGATGTAGGAAAGCGTACGTGTGAGACGATATTAATGAGATCGCAATCTCAAGAATATCTAAACACAATATCAAATCATATTTTCATTCAATAATTCATAATCAACTGAAGATAACAAAAGAGGAGGAGTCCTTTATATAATGCTCTTAAACCCTAGCAGTAGTTTCCTCACCAAGACTACACATAAATAACAAATAAATATAAAATGCTAATAACAATAACGATACTTAATAAACTAGCAAATATTCTAATATAAAAAATAATAGATATTATCCTGCATCACTAAGCCTATGAGAACTAGAATTCTAATCCTAATGAAACTAAATATCTAGTGCATCTTATTCTAATATCCTATACTTCCTAATATAAATCAAACTCCTAAACAATCTTGGCCTAATTAAATAAACTAGCCCTTCTAGGATCTCGGCCAACTTGGTTTACAAGTCTTCTAGAACACTAGCCCTCAAGTCGCATGCCTCACGCATTTGTGTGTCTTGCCTGTGCATGCCCCCGTGTGTCTGCTCGCGCGATGTCCTAGGCCCGCTGCCAGCTCTCAGGCTCGGCAGGCCCATGCTCGCCAGGCCCGTGCTCACCAAGCCCACGTGTTCTCCCAAGTCTGATCCCGTCCGCGTGTCTGCCTCGTGCACGAGAACCTCGGCTCCAGTGCGCGTGCCTGTCGCAGTGCACCCTGCGTTGTACGCCCACGTGCATCGTGCGCTTCCACCTCGCGCGCCTCTCGCTTCAGCGTGCTTGGTCGCCACGTTCGTGCGCCCTGTGCGCCTATGCCTCAGTATTCTGTGCGCATGCCTTTGCGCTCGTGCCTCTCATGCGTACTTGCTTCTTTATGCGAGACTCTCAATGTTCGCCCCGAGTTTTGCCCAGACTTCCCTGTCGCCGTGCGGGGTTCTCGGGTCTCATTTGCGTGTGTTTGCGCCCTTGTTTTCGGGTTGCCTTGTGCGCATTCTCGCATTGTCGTGCTGCCATTGTCGCGACCGCGTCGACCCTTGTTGATGAAGATCGTGTATTCGATCAACTCGATTTGCGTCAAAAATTACTTTGCCACGACTTTCTTCTCTGCGGTAGGTGTGGGTGACTCAGATTGCTCTTAGTCTTCTCACGGTTTGAGATGGTTCGGGTGTTAATCCTTACCAAATTCGATTTGTATGACAAAACTCTCACGAATTCTAATCACACGATAATGGTGAACAAACTTTCGATTTTTATTAACTTCTTCAATCTTTTTTAAATTCGAATGACAATGGATAATATTTATAGAGTCTAACTAAGTCTAGTCCTATGCTAACTAGAGCTCTAAAATCATGGAAATAGAATAAACTCCTATGGGAACTAAATATCTAGAATTAAAAGACTTACCAAATAACTAAATAGGCACATGCCTTTATTCAAATTTTCTAACCAAAAGAAAAGTCATAATATGCTAAGGCAATCGATTGACTTGCGCCGCACTCCTTTCGGATCTTTGCCCTAGGCGGCACGCTAATCGCGCGCTACTCCTCATCGTCTGAGGTATTGCGTGCATCGGCTCCCCACGCATCGCCCATCGCATCCGCCGCGTGGTCCCTCATCGCACCCGGCGCGTGTTCGCTCCATCGCGCCTCGCCATACCCGCGAGTGGTCAACACGCTTGCCTCCATCCGCCTGCTTGATCGCCACTCACTTCTCTCGCCAAGGCCCATCCTCGCGGGTCCGTTCCAGCGTAAGTTATTCCGCGCATATCTCTCGAACCTCTCACCATGTACTCTACGGTAACCCATCGCGTCTTTCAGCACGAACTTCCTTCTACGCGGTTCTGCTCCAAGCGTCCCTCTCCCGAGCGCCTCATCACCCAACTAACGTGCATCGTTAGCCTACGCATCGTGCGATCACTAGACGCGCTCCATTTCACGAGGGTTCGAAACCCTTTCTCACGAACATGTGGCATGTCCCGTCTATTCACACGCCTTCTTCATTGGTCAATGGTCGCCATGTCCTCGGGCTCAGAAGGATCGATGACCACATCCTCATAACTTGTCATCCTTGTGCGTCTCGTATTCTAGCTTGCGCGCATTTCTAGAGCTATGCACGCTCTACTTTGTTCCTTTGCGAGTTCTCCTCGGGTCGTCTCGGCCCTCGATCCTTAGCATCCTCGGAGAACCAAACCTCTATCTTCATCATGGAACTCTTCAGTGGCCGTGGAGTCATGCTTTTCCCAACTTTAGTTCTCTCCTTCACGGCGAGTTCGTCGGGTCAATCGGTTGTCGGTCCTGGAGCGTGGTTGAGGTCCTCGACGAAGGTTGTCACCTTCGTTATGGCCGTAGCTAGCACCAGCGAAAATGTATACCATGGGGTCATACGATTTTTGAGGTAAGTGTAGGAAGACCTCCTAGGGATAAGAGACATAGGGCTAAAGAGAAAGCCAAATGTGTTGGGTTATTTCCCTCCGGTGTGTTGTCTTTTGGTTTGTTTGTTGGTGTTGGGGTTGTGTTGGGGAGGTGCCGATTGTTGGGTCCCAAGGTTGTTATCCGGTGGTGATTCGTTGGAAGGAGGATCAGTCTTTATTGATTTAGGTCTAATTAGCCATGGTCTGTTGAGTTAAGGAGTTTGGAGCTGCTAGATCCGGGTTGAGGCTTGATTCTTTTTGCTTGGGGTCATCTTCAGTTGTCGATTTCGCTGAGGAGGTTAGAAGTTTGTGGTAGGTATTGAGGAGGGCTTTATTATATTGCAGAGGTATGAATTGTTTGTTTTCTTTAGTGTTTCTCTTTTGTTTGTTGTCTTTGTCTTAGTCCAATTGCGTATGGCTTTAGTCTCTATTATGGAATCGTTGTCTCTGTCTTGGAGTTGTCGTGTCTCCATTTTTAGGTTTTTTTGTTTCGCTAGTGTTTGTATCTGTTTGGTTGTTTGTGTAATTCTAAGGGTGGTGGATCCAACCTTTGTGCTAGTTCTTGTGTCCATTGACACCTCGAGTGTACTTGTTTTGAGGTTTTTAGTTATTAATATATTTATCGTTTTGGCAAAAAAACCAAAAAAAAAAAAAAAAACATTGATGTGTTTATTGCACCCGTGTTCTCCACCTTACGAATCGATCTCTTAACTTCACGATTTGAACTTAGGGTGTGATTGAATATGAATTTAATTCAGTATTTTTTTTTCTCTTAAAAAATGTGGTATGGTTAGTTGTTAGTATGATTTGGCTTCATATTAAAATAATATTGGAAATAAAATAATTAAAGTTGATTTGATGTAAAACAACGAGAGATAGAATGTGAAATGGTTGCTAGTTAAAATTATATGAGTGGATGTAACGTGGAAGAATGATAGATTGATATTATTTAATTATATTGATAATATTGAGGATAATGAGATTGAATTAAAGTTTTAAAAAAGTGGTTGAGTTAAAAATAATTAATTTTTTTTTTTTTTTGGGTCGGATCTATTCACCACCCTTAGGAATCAGCGTCGTGGGAAGATAATTAAAGATTTATACGTGGTAATAACCTATATAGGGTAATTTGCACCAAACCCCCATGTGTTTAACGAAATGTGCGCGTTTTCCCACTGTGTTTTAAAAAGTGCACCAGACTCCCTTATATTTAACAACGCGATGCACACATTCTCTTTTTTCAACTGGCCATTAACGATGTTAGTTTTTTTAGCAAAAACCCCGTTATACCCTCTAAATATTATATATATATATATGTGTGTGTGTGTGTGTGTGTGTGTGATAAATAAAATTTATCACGATATATTGAATATATCGCGATAAATTAAATTAAAAAAAAAATTGTTGTCTTTAAGGATCGATCTTGAGACCTCTTGAAAGAATGGCAAGAAACTCAACCACCACACCACTCAAGGTTAAGTGCTAGATGTAGTAAAGTTTAATATATATCATATTACATATGGACAAATGAAATTAAATTTAGAAGATAATGTAAATTAAATTAAATTAATTTAATTTTTCATATTATTTTGTTGCATTATTCATTTTATTTTATCTTAGTTAACAAACATTATTTATTTTGTTTAACTTAAGACAATGAAATATAATTAAAATAAATTTTACTAAATAAAAGTTAGAAATTAAAACTATTTATTTACAAAAAAATATTTACTAAAAAATTATAATTTATTTCAATTTTTTTCATATCGTATGTAAGAGTAAATCACATTAAAACTATTTGATAAATAATATTTTTTATTTTATTGTATTAATTTATGATTTTTATTTATTTAATTTATTTTTTTATAATAGTTTATTTTAATTATTATTTATTTTAATGTATCATTTTTATACTTTATTATCTTATATAATTATTATTTGTAATTTACTTAATTATTTTATTTTAATTTTATTTATCTTTTAATATGTTTTATGTATTACTTTTTAATTTAAGAATTATATAATTAATTTATTTTAATAATTAAAATATTAGTTTATTTAATTTTTAATCGAGGCTGCTATAATAAATTTTATCTTACTTTATTTTAATTTAATGTTTTTTATTATTTTATGTTAATTTAATTTATTGGAAGTTATTATTATTATTAATTATTTAATTTATACAGTAAATTGGCTATTATATTGTTATTTTATTTTGTTTACTTTATTTTAAAATATTTAATTAATTTTCGTATGATGTATAAATATATTTATGTTCAATACATTACACATCCATCCACATAGCCCAATGGTTGAGTGGGCATGTTTCCCTTTGCAACCCAAGATCGAATCTTACTTCCCACATTTTGTACAATTTTAGATTTTGCAATATCATTCTAGAGGGTAAAAAAGTAAATTATTAATTATGTAAAATAAAAAAATTGAACAAATCTCGCTTATAGAAGGTGTCATGCACGCGCGGTTAACTTAGACGGAATGGGGGAATCGTGCATCGCATTGTTAAATATATGGGGGTCTGGTGCACTTTTTTAAAAAACAGTGGGGAAACGCGCACATTTCGTTAAACACAGGAGAGTTTGGTGCAATTTACCCAATCTATATATCATAGTAGGTAGTGCATTGCCAAAACTATCTAGGTTACCTTAATCCCTTCAGCTTTATAAAAGATCCTTCAAAAGATCTACTCAGTTCTTTCTATGAAGGAATTTTTTTTTTTTTTATAATTCGCTCATTGGATAGTCACCGAGATCGATTCTCCTAACCCTCTGTTATACTCTATTAGTTTGGGTATAATTAGGTCATCCAAGAACCGTAACCCATACTGAGCTCATGTATCTAAAGATATATGCTCGAGCTAGTATAGATCAATCCAGATGACAACTGTAATTTGAATTCGTTGGCGGAGCTGCAAACTCATCACCTAAGCTAAACCAATTTACAGTCGAGTCAACTATCAAACCAGTATGAGGTTATATCATCTGGCCCCCATCATGCTTCAATCGAGTATAAAGGAATTTTGTTCGAGCGTAGATGACGTGTCCCTAGGGTTCATCGAGTACTATCATTATGCAAAAAATATTATCCCTATTGGAGTTCAATGAGGAACGTCGAATTTATGAAAGTCATGGATTAATCTGAAAAGCAAACCTAAGTGCACTGCAACTAAAGCAAAGGTTGAAAACTTACGGTTTAAAATTTTTGCAGACTCTGTACAGATTGCAAGACCTATAGGGTTGGACGAACAGTTCTATGACGATCTTTTCACATTCATCCTCTTCTTTCACTGGAACTTCTTGTCGCTGCTCTATGGGGATCGTCTCAGGTTGAGTAGTCTTCGGGTCTGCAGGTCGCGCGAGGTCGTTGCGTGCATGCGTCGCTCGTCCTCACTGCGGGTCGCAGTTTCTTTCGTGTACACTAGGGTTGTTGCATTGCATGCCTCGATTCTGTGCGCAGGGCTGGTGCATTGCGCGGCTAGTCCACACGTGCGGCGCCCTGCGTTCGGCTGCGTCTCACTGTGGTCGCCGGGGTTGCACGAGGTCGTGCGGTGGTACGTGCGGCCTCGAGTGACCTTGGGACTTTTGTTGTATGACCAGACATTTTCTATGATCGTCTTGATGGGCGACATGCTCGGAGATTTCTCGATTGATATTCCAACAATATCGCTCAAAGTCGTATACAATGGGTTTCTTATGTGTCTAGGCGTATAGAACACTCAATAAAAATGGTATATTTACATGAGACAATAGAGACCTTAGGAGGTGCTAAATATGAGTTCTCCAAGTGTGAATGCAAAATGCGGGCCTCGACCACTTCGTGTTCACACTTGAATAATACTTCAATCCGCTAAAAAATATTATTGCACTCTCAATTTAAATTATATTTGACGCTGTAAATTAATTACTCAGTTTACTTTTTCGTGTTTAAGATATAATATCCGTCAATTAATTTAATTACTGACAATATAATTAATTGCTTTCTTGAATCAAAGTTAGTACCACCCAATTCCTTATCATTTTATTAGAACTCAATCCGCTTGCAAAGATTAATCCTTATTGATCTCACTTCGGGGACATCATCAGACTAAGGCACACAATGACCGTAAATAATCGAACAACACACCATACACAAAACATCACTACCCAACTCACGTAGACTATTGAGCCAACAAAATAGATCTCATTTTTTCATGAATCAAAGTAGTACCCTCTGAGTGCACATGCCCGTTGTTAACTAACGATGACTGTTTAGTGCGGGCTTTCACAAAATCGAGTAGTCGATACACGATCTTCATTAAAACTGTCAGACCCTGTTTTATCCTTTTTCAAAAATTTTATGCTTTTTCAAGATTTTAATGGTTAATAATAATAATAATATAATATATACGGATATTTGAGAGTAAAAAGCAAATTGTATTGTTGAATGAAAACAAAAAAAAAAAAAAAAATGTGAACAAAAGAAGTTACATTATTAGATATTAAAATGTCACACTTAAAATTCAACATTGTTACGTGGATAGACGCTTACCGTATATCCAAACGGTCGCGTCTCTTTTCAATTTATAGGCGCTACTATCAACTCTAATCGGCGAGCACTTCAAACGAAAGCAACAGAATTTCTCGAAACTTCTGTCGGTCATCACAAACGCAGAGCCATTTTAACGAAAATGGCGATGATCGATGAGTACATTTTGGGGGGTTTTGTTGCTTCCTTGTTTGGGTTCGCGTTGGTGTACAATTTGCGAAGGAACGTGAGGAAAACGAGAGTTCCGAAGGCTGTGCGGGCGGATGAGAGCCTCGAGAGATCAGCCGCAGGCGGCGGAGTCCGGGAGGAGGCTGCCGGCGGGGATGCCGATATTATCATTGTCGGCGCGGGGGTTGCAGGGGCGGCTTTGGCTTATACTCTTGGCAAGGTAAAGAAATACGTGATTCTCGCTGCCTCAATTTGGTCTGTGTTTTATTTTTTCTTTACGATCTTACCGATTAATGCATGACTCGAGATTTAGATCCTTTACATTGTATGGCGAAGCAAACGTTTTACTTTTAATTTCATAAAGAAAAATTGTGGAAACTGTTGTTGCATACGTTTGAACGAGTTGGCAAGAAACTGCAGATTTGTACATAACGAGGAACATTTTAGGTGAGATTTTGTGTTGGCTCTCTCTTTTTATGCAGTCTTTAGTATGTTGTTTAGACACCATCCATTAATGATCTTAGTTGTCTGTTCAAGTAATTGAAAGAAACAATGTAATTAACTCACATTTCAGGTCTCAGATTCATATTTTTACTTCGAATATTTTGGCCGCAATCTGTCAATTACTTTATTAGTGTATCATCAACAAGCCAATCTTACTGGGCAACCTCAATTTCTTGAACACAAACCTTTAATCATAGATAGTTTGTGCCTTCTTGGTAAATTTTAACTTAGATATTTCCTATTTTCATTGAGATTGTTTTGGGCCGGCAGTGATAAAATTGGTGATTTGTCAGAAAGAGTTTCTAGTTGCCTACATGTTTTCAGCTTCATACTTTTTCAATCTTCAAATTCTGTTAGTCCGTGAGAATCCTGATCATTTAATAAAAAAGTGAAGAAAATTGGATTTGGCGTGGAAGGATGGATAGAAAAAAAACGCAGTTTCAACTGGACTCTCTTGTTCTGATGTAGGAGGGCCGGCGAGTTCGTGTGATTGAGAGAGACTTAACAGAGCCAGATCGTATAGTTGGCGAACTTCTGCAGCCTGGAGGCTATTTGCAATTGATTGAGTTAGGCCTTGAAGGTACTCGTATACAACCGCCACGTTTATTTTTTCGTCAGCCTCATTTTGTTGGCTGAATTAGATTCTATTGCATTTATGTAGTGGTCCAGTCTGCTGTAATTAGCTGTGGCCCAAGATTGGACTTGGTATTAAATTCTTTGTAGTGGAGTTAGGTGCTGGCTTAGTGGTCTCACATGTATATACGTGGCTGCAGATTGTTTGGAAGACGTTGATGCTCAGCGAGTTTTTGGCTATGCCCTTTACAAGGACGGTAGAAATACGAAGTTATCTTATCCTCTTGAGAAATTTCATTCGGATGTTTCTGGAAGAAGCTTTCACAATGGCCGTTTCATTCAGAGGATGAGAGAAAAAGCTGCAACTCTTCCAAAGTAAAAGCTTAATTACTTGAAAGCAGTTGTTTTTTCCCATTTATTTAAATAATGCCTGTTCATAAATTTGACCATGTTGGGTTGACATCTATGAGCATGACTGCACCTTCTTGCATTCTTACAGGCTTTATTATCAACTAAAAGTCAATTGTTAACTTTTGTCCCACTTAAAAAGGATATGTGACTCTAACCACTAATTGGCTAATTATGAAATTAACTATTCAATGACCTATTACTGCCAGAAAAGTAGAATTTTTTCATTCATGACTATACAGTGTTTCTGGTTCAGTGTGAGACTTGAACAAGGAACAGTGACATCCTTGCTTGAGGAGAAAGGGGCGGTTAAAGGAGTTCAATACAAGACAAAGAATGGTGAAACCTTTACTGCTTATGCTCCCCTCACCATTGTTTGTGATGGTTGTTTCTCAAACCTAAGACGTTCTCTCTGTACACCCAAGGTATACTTGGTTCTTCTTAAAACCTTTCAATATACTATGTTGCACCAAGAAATGGAAGTGCAGGTAGGCCATCTATACGTTTATCTTATAACAAATATATTATAACTTCCACAATTTGATACATGATTTCAGGTGGACGTCCCATCTTGCTTTGTGGGTTTGGTCTTGGAAAATTGTGAACTACCTTACGCGAATCACGGTCATGTTATTTTGGCTGATCCTTCTCCTATATTATTTTATCCAATCAGCAGTACGGAAATACGTTGTTTGGTTGATATCCCCGGACAAAAAGTTCCCTCCATTGCCAATGGTGAAATGGCTAATTATTTAAAGACGGTGGTGGCTCCTCAGGTGCCTGCAATTTCTCAAAAGGGCTCAAACCTTTCTCTTATTCTATATTCGCATAATTTGCTGATACAAGCAAGAAATGTCCTCTCTTCAGGTTCCTCCAGAGCTGCATGGCCCGTTTATTGATGCTACTGAGAAAGGTAACATAAAGACCATGCCCAATAGGAGTATGCCAGCGAATCCTCAGCCGACTCCCGGAGCAATCTTGATGGGGGATGCTTTCAACATGCGCCATCCTTTGACAGGTGGAGGAATGACAGTAGCCCTTTCGGATATTGTCATCCTTCGTGATCTTCTCAGACCTATACGAGATCTGAATGACGCATCTACCCTTTGCAAGTATCTTGAATCCTTCTACACTCTCAGAAAGGTGGGATATATGTATATTATTATGCTTCTGATTCTGCATTATCTCTAATAGGAACTGAAAAAAAGTAAAAGAAATGGTGCTTTGGTTTTCTGATTATGCTTTCGGTTTGGACTTTTTCAAACAAGAATAAGTACATTTACAAGTATATTACTATATCCCTAAAGATCCAGGTACAAATAAAATTGGAACTTCTGTATGTACTATATGAAGATACATTTAATCTCAAACTAACGAATTTAGGCTTTTCACTTATGCAGCCTGTGGCATCCACAATAAACACGTTGGCGGGAGCACTTCACAAAGTCTTCTGTGCATCGCCCGATCCGGCCAGGAAGGAAATGCGTGAAGCTTGTTTCGACTATCTGAGCCTTGGAGGTGTTTTCTCTAGCGGACCCATTGCTTTACTTTCTGGCCTAAACCCACGCCCATTAAGCCTTTTTCTCCATTTCTTTGCTGTGGCTATCTACGGAGTTGGTCGGTTGTTAATCCCGTTCCCTTCTCCTCAAAGGGTTTGGTTGGGAGCCAGATTGCTCTTGGTGAGTCTGTTTCTCATTCGAATACGAGATTTTATGAATGGTTCTTTATTTGTGTTAAAAAATTCGTTATCGTTGTTCGATATGCCATTATGCCGTTATTAATGTTTTCTCATTTTTCCGTTTTACAGGTTGCATCCGGAATCATTTTCCCGATTATAAAGGCAGAGGGGGTTAGACAGATGTTCTTCCCTGCCACTGTTCCAGCCTACTACAGAGCCCCCCCTGTTAGTTAATTTACTTCAATGTAGATCAATGAATAATGATTCTACAACAATTTCCCTCTTCAACCTTGTATTGCATTTGCACAGCTTCATTGTTAATGTCTTTTGGATTCTTGGTAATGTAACATAAACAACAGGATTTTTGTTCACTGCTAGCAAATAAACGGTGTGTTTATAAAAGGATAAATTCAATCAAATTGACTCAAGTGAGTTTTTTTTTAATTAACTATGGTTAATTTAGACAGACCAAGTAGTATAGTTAGTTGGTAGTGGGATTTTGAAAGTATATTAAAATAATAATTAAAATAAAATAATTAAAGTTGATTTGATGTAAACGTATGAGAATGATGATATGAAGTGATGATTAATTAAAATTATGACTTATCAACTCTAGGTCCTTTGACGACTACCACTTTTGGGTGTACATGGATACATACATATTCGCTCAAAACAATTTTTATTTAGTAACTAAAATTAATGGTGAAAAATGTGGTATGGTTAGTTGTTAGAGTGATTTTGAGTTTATATTAAAATAATATTTAAAGTTGATTTGATGTAAAAGTAAGAGAAAAACAGTGTGAAGTAATGATTAATTAAAATTATGTGAGTGAATTAATAGTGAATTAAAATTGATGTGACATGTAAGAATGATGAATTTATATTATTTAATTATATTTATAGTATTGAGAATGATGACGTTGAATTAAGGTTGAGATAGATTTTGAGTATAGAGAGTATTGATTGAGTTATTTTATAAACAAATCCCGAACCGTTTTAAACAATGTCGGTATCGGTTTTGAATATTTTTGTCACGAACCGTCCCGTTTGTCCCGTTTTAGTTAGTTTGTACAAAATAATATATATATAATAATCATAATACATTATTATTATATTTATATTGGTAATATAATAAATAATTATTAACTTCATATAATCATTTCAAACTTTCAGTAGTTTCAATCTTTCTGTTCTGCATGCATTTGTATTTGTATGTTGTAATATATAAAAGCACAATTTTTTACTTGGCCCAAAAAAATTAAATAATTAAACAATTACCCATATTTATTGTATGTGTATTTGGCCCAAATAGTACTCAACTGCTGGAGAGTGGAGAAATATTTATATTAATATATGTTCTCTTTATTCTTAAGGCAAAATTTTCAACCCATGCTAACAATTAAAGGTCATAATCTGACACACATAACTCTAAAAATATACATATGAGCATGTTAACAATAGCAATATAGCTTAGCAAAAATAACATACTGCCCCTCATTTCTTATCTTTTTTTTTTTTTCTCAATTTCCAACAAAACTTATAAGGCCTCAAGCTGAAAATAAAACTCTGTCACAATATCAGCATGCTTAAATAATCAAAGCAGGGTCTAACAATTACGGCTAAAAAATGACACAAACACATCACATAAACCTTTCCCTTTTCTTCATTTTTTTTCTCAATCTCATAGCAATGCATATAATGCCATAAAAACTGTATATATCACCTCTGGACAGAGCATATAAGTTGCACTAAACTCTCAAAAGTGCAGTTCAATATATAGGCTATAATAAGGTTCAAACCTAACATAAACATGCTGCAGTGTATTAATGGAATAAGTATTGGGTCAAAATCTTTTTCACCCCGTTATAAATCTATTCTTTTGGTTGAGTTTATTTTATTATTTTTCTTTTTTGATCCGTTTTGTCTCGGTCCCGGACCGTTTTATCTCGGTCCCGATTATTACCGATCCATTTGGAACGGTGTCTCATCCCCGACCGTTCCCGGACCGGTTAAAAAAAAAACGGGACAGGTACCGGGATAGGTCAAATCCCGGACCGTCCCGGACCGCGCCCACCCCTAATTAAGGCGCATGTTTATCAAATAATCCGGTCAAAATGAGTTTATTTTGTTAACCCGAGTTAATTAAAAGAAAAAAAAAAGAGTATGTTTAGTAGTTAGTAGGATTTTAAGAATGTATTAAAATAATATTTAAAATAAAATGATTAAAATTGATTTGATGTAAATGTAGAAAATACATAATTGGAAATGATAGTTAACTAAAATTATGTGAGTTGACGAATAGTGAATTAAAGTTGATTTAATATGTAAAAATGATGAGTTTTTATTATTTAATTATCAATTATATCAATAATGTTGAGGTTAGTGCATTGAGATAAATTTTGAGTATGAAATAAATGTGATTAATTTTTATTATGTTGTTTTCTTTATATACATATATATATATATATATATATATTTATATAAATTAAATTCATTGAAAATGATTTATTTATTTAAATCAAAAATA